CAGGGCACCCTCCAACCCACAGACTCAATTTAGTTTCTTGGGTACTTCAGGTGATTATGAAGGGCAGGCCCCCAGTGAGGGGACTGGGTGCAGAGTCGAACCTAGGTTGATGGGTTCCAATGAGTCAAAGGAAAGTCTAAGCAAATGTTGGCAGCCTCCAGTCAAAGGTGATTAAAACTGTTGCTTCACTGAAATGATATTAAACCAATGTGGGTAACCATATATGTAGGGGTATTCAGACACTCAGGAACATAGCAATTGCACAGAACATGCAATTGCTGACCACTGCATGTCATGCCTGGATATTTAACTTCCACAAAACCTAGAAAATAGCTTCCATGGGAAAACAGCGTAGACTTTGCTTCAAACAGAAAGAACTGGCTACTGTTTTTCACACACACTCAATCCAAAGGTAAGTATCACTTTTAGTGCCCTCCACGTCTTCTACCTGATCCAACCATATAGGATGCTTCCAAGAAGTTTTACCTTAAATCTCATTGAGAGATTCCAGAGTGGAAGATTTCCAGAGCAACAGCAATGGCTGTTCCCAGTTTCCTGGAGTCTGAAGCACAGAATGTGAGTGCCTGTCAAGTGCCTCTGATAGAATCACTGGCTAATCCAGCATTAGAACTCAGGCGCTCCCAGTGCCCAGATTCAAATTACTAGACTGTCTCTTTCCCAAAACAGCAAATCCCCCGACATCTCCAGCACTCCCTGAGGTTACACAACACGGGGAACTGAGGTCAAATAAGTCTATTCCTTCTACTCATCTTCTCCCCTGAGAAGCCCTTTCTTCCCTTGACAACAATTGATAATTAAGGCTTTACTAAGGAAAAGAATATGTGGTGGGTTATTGCCTAGAGACAATTCTCTGCAAGTTTTCATTCCGTGAATGTTGTCAAAGTATTTAGAAATGACTGTGAGATGCCATATGCATTCCTAACATTTTCTTTTTCTATTTTCAGGTATAATGACAATCTACAGTCATGTACCATACGACCAGGTTCTTGACTTTTGCAGCTCTGACATTGGCACTGCCACTATGTAGTAATAATGATGAGAGCTCAGGTTTCATGTGCACTTACTCTATATTGGATATAGTGCTTTAGACACTTAGTTCATGCCTTGTCCAAAACCAAGCAGCTAATAATTTGCAGAGCCTGGCTCGAAGTGGCTCATAGTCTGTTTTTATTTTTATATTTTAATGATACTATTTATCTGTATAAACTTAAGACACTGTAAAGGTAATTGATATCTTTTGTGGTATCTTTTTGTATTTTTTAAATTGACAACAATTGTATATATTTATGGTATACAACATGATGCTTTGAAGTATGTGTATATTGTAAAATGGCTACATTGAGCAAATTAGCATATTCATTACCTCATATACTTTTTTTGTCATGAGAACGCAAAATCTACTCTCTTTGAGGTTCTCAAGTATACAATGCACTATTTTAACTGTTGTCACAATGTTGTACAATATATTTCTTGAACTTATTTCTCCTGAAATTGTGTATCCTTTGACCAACATTTCCTGAATCCCCTCGTCTCCCGTCTCCTGGTGACCGCCATTTTACTTTCTGCTTCCATGAGTTTGCTTTTTTTAGATTCTTCATATAAGTGAGATATTTGTCTTTCTGTGTCTGGCTTATTCCACTTAAAAAAAGTACAAAATATGTGTCCTTGCCCACTGCATTACCTGCAGTACTGCAATAACGTGCCATATTTCAATGCATGTGTGTATGTCTATGTGTGTATTACATATGTATGTGTCATGTATTTGTGTGTATATATGTGTATAATGTGTATGTTGTTTCATAAAAAACTTGAAGCAGCCTACATTTTATAAAAATAATTTCAACATTTATTTTAGATACGGGGGTGCATGTGAAGGTTTGTTACATGGGTATATTGCATGATGCTGAGGTTTGGGGTCTGGATCCCTTCACTCAAGTAGTGAGCATAGTACCCATTAAGTAGTTTTTCAACCCCTGCCCCCTTCTGCCTTCCCCCTTCCCTCCTCCCTTCTCCCCCTCCCTCCTCCCCCTCCTCCCCTTCCTCCCCCCTCCTCCCCTTCCTCCCCCCTCCTCCCCTTCCTCCCCCTTCTCCCCTTCCTCCCCCTCCTCACCCTCCTTCTCTTTCCCCCTCCTTCCCCTTCCTCCCCTTCCCTGTCCCTCCCTCTCCCTCCCTCTCCTGCCCTCCTCCCTTCCCCTTTCCCCCTCCCTCCTCTCCCTTCCTCCCCACCTTGCTCCATGTAGTAGTCCACAGTATCTATTGTTCCCATCTTTATGTCCATGTGTACTCAATGTTTAGCTTCCGCTTATAGGTGAGAACACATGGTACTTAGTTTCCGTTCCTGCATTAATTTTTGTAGGATTATGACCTCCAGCTGCATTCATGTTGCTGAAGCAACTTATAATTTTTATATTCCTAAGTAATTTCTGATTGGAAGGTGGCTATATACATAAGAGCATGAAACTTGAAACCAAAATTTGCATAGGAATTTCTGGTAAAAGGTCAGTGACAAGAGAAAGGCTTACGTACGTTCTCTGTGTCATAAGATACTCCATCTTGTTAGAGTTTCCGTGCTGTCTGACCCAAAGTTTCTGGTTGTTCAAAAGCCTGCATTAAAGGTGGTGTTACCTATGAATATTTGCTGCACATTGATACAATCGTTTTCACATCTTCTGCACTGACAGCCTATTACCAGGAAGCATGTTCTGTGGCGAATTAACGTGATTAAACCATATTTTTCAGGAGGCACTTACTTTCAATGTCCTTCTTAAAATTATCTTTAGCCAGAAATGGAGATCCTATTTAATGATGGCCTATGGGAAGATAAAACATGCTTAATGAGAGTTCAGATCGGCTTTTTTCCACCCGGACTCTCTGTGTGATACAAAACAAAATCCACAGGGACTAAAACAGTCACAGACATCTTGGCAACATGGAGGAAGATGGCATCCAAACTCTGCCATGTTGATTCCACAGTGGTTAGACAGGCTCCACTGTAGAATGTTTGGCTTCTTCTAATGCTGACTGGGTAGGAGCAGCTGTTACCCTTTCCCGGATAAAGTGACATACTCTAGAAGAAACAGAGTCCTAATGAGATGGAAATTAATTCCTTTTTCCATCCAGCCATCTCAAAAACAAATACACTGCTAGAAAAACCCAAAATATGGTGAGCAAAAGATCAAATCTGATTTAGATATAGCAATTGCTTGTTTTTCATAAGACACATTTTTCTCTTGCTTCATAAATGCCAAAAAACCCACTTTTAAAAACCCATAGCATGTGCAGTTAATTCATATCTTTATATCCAAGTATTTTTTGAATATTATCTATACAAATATATATCAAATAAAGTGTCAAAGCTTTAGTGAGCAAAAGTTTAATATATGAAGTATCATAAAGCAGACTTATAACCTCAATATGATTTTTTATTTATTAGAGTAATATTTTTAGGTAACAATACATTTAACCACATCTAAGAGTACAACACAGGAATAATAAAATCTTGTATACAAGATGTTACAATTAAAGATAAATACATTACAGTTTAATTTACATATAAAAATATCCTCTAGGGAATACAAGAAGTTAAAATTATAGCCCTAATTGTACAATTTTTTTCATACTTATTTATCTTTCAAAGGTAACTAAAGCTAAACACAACTTGAAAACTTTACAGACCAGTGAGATATTACTGTTTAAAGAATATAGTAACAAGGTAAAAATAAATATAAGAAAAATACACTATTAAAATCTAAGAAAAATAACATTAAATAATTACATTATAAGATTACATAACTCACTCAGAAATTTAAAACTATTATTTCACCATGATGTCACTGATTATTTTTGTCACTTATTCAATGTATTTCAACAAATAATTATTGAACTCCATGCTCTAGGGAATGTGTTTGGCCCTGAGAAAGCACTGGAAAACAAAACAAAGATAGAACCTGCGCTCATAGAGCTTATAGTCTAGTGGGAAGACAGCAGGGAACACAGGCAGCTGTAATATAGCATGACAAGTTCTGTGCTTAGGCTTCCCATCCTAGAGGAAGCAACATCTCAGCTGAGACCTATAGGATAAGTGGGATTTGATCAGGTGAAAGGGTGCAGAAAAAGTGGAAACAGAGTTCCAGATGAGAGAAGGAAATGCAAAGACCCTGAGGTTAAAATAGAGCATGGTCTATTCTACAGCAGTGGTTCCCCATACAAAGGTCCTCAGATATTTGATGGCCCACAGTGAAATTCTCACTCATCAGTGGAGAAATGAGAGCAGCGTGAGGTCTTTTCAAAGTAAAAGTCATTCAACTTGAATGACTGAGTTTATAACCATCTTATTTTCCAACATTAAAATGACCCCTCTTTTATGAAATGATGGTGATAGTAGATGGTATTTCTTAATGACTCTTTTTGAAAAATCAACACAACAAAACCTGTTGGTGTATGACACCTTAAAGTCTGGGGATCACTGTTTAAAAAATAAAATTCTAGAAGGTTCAAGGGAAGAGAGGAAAGGGAGACATCTAGAGATGAGACTAGAGAAGAAGGCAGGAGTTAGATCATGAAAGTTCAAGTGAGAACTTTGGAATTGAAGAGCGATGGGAATGATCTTAAGCAGAGAAGAGAAAGTCTACTATATTTGTAAAGGCTATTCTGAGATGCTGTGTGTAGAAAGTGTCTGGGACAGGGCAGGACAGAGGCAGGGGAGCCAGATAAGCAGCACTGTATTATCCAGGGAAAAAGAAGATAATAGACTTAGGGCCAAATGGGGGTGGGGTTGAGGGGTGGTGAGTGGAAGATGACTTCAGGAGACAAACTTAATAGGATTTGGTGATTTGTCTTATTGGGTGAGGAAAATGGATGGTCAAGCCTGACGTCCAGGCTTTTTTCTTTGGAAACTGAATTGAGTATTGTGCTAACTATTGAGCTCGAGAAAGAGCTTTTTTTTTTTTTTTTTTTTTTTTTTTTTTTTTTTTTTTTTGAGTTCATCTGGGGACATGTTGAATTTGAGGTGTCTTTGTGTTCAAATGTTCACTAGGTCAATTGTCTACATAGGTCGGGAGAACATGAGAGAAAGAGTTGAGCTTCGGATAGAAATTTTGTAGTCTCCAGCAAAATGATTAAGACCATGGATGCGAATAAAATTTCCCAGAGAACAAAGCAAAGAAGGCTTAGGATATATAACTTAAAGAACAAAGAGAAGAGGGCTTAAGATATATAACTCTAAGATTGGCTAGAGATGAGCTAGGCAGAAAGAAGCCAGAGACAGAGTGTCCAGGGAGGTGGGAGGACACCCAAGAGAACAGGTTTTGCAAGAAACAAGGAAAGAGGTAACATTTCAAGCAAGGAACAGGCAACAATGTTGAATGCTGTAGGAATCAATTGGAAGAGGGACTGAAGAATGTTCACTGAATTTAGCAACAAAGAGATTGTCAGGGACCTTGAGAAAAGCAGTGAAGGGGTAGATGCCAGATCACAGTCTGTGAACTTACAGGCAGGAGGAGCTCTTTTACACAGCAAGACCTTGAGAGACAGGAGAATCCGGCCAGCAACTGGCAGATGTGGGTTTGAGAAAGTGGTTATCTGTTTTTTAAACATAGAGACTTGATGTGGATATTGTAGGAGCCACTTGATAGGGAGAGTTTGATGACTTGTAGCAAACAAAGATACAAATCTAAGTTCAAAATACTATCTTTAAAAAATGCTAATGTCTTTAAAGACATAAATCATGGTGTTCCCGTAAGAACACATGATACAACTATAAAACTGTCAATGCATTTAAATACACTTTACAATTAAAGATGTAAAATAGTTACAAGAAATTATCTGAGAGAATCACATTTCAAAATATTTTTTAAAATCACATTTTAAAATATTAAGTTATGGCAATTTTAGCTCTTGTCCATAGAGATCATACTCTTTAAATAATATGTATCTTTGAATAGCTGGTGGTAGAGGAAGCTTCTCCATTGAGGCTGGCTGGCAGAGTTTCTGGAGACCCAGAAGTCTTCGAATTTTTAACCGACACAAATGCTTCAATGAACAAGGATTCTCTAAAAGGAAAATAAGCAAAAAAAATTTTTAAATAGTGGCTTGACCCCTAAGATATAACTATTTCAGAATAACATGAGTAGTGTATTCTGAAAAACACGTATGCACACTTTAGCAACGTGATTTTAAGTGAAATTCAAATTGTAATTGAACATTCTAGTCTACTACTCTAGAATGTAAGTTCCATGAGGGCAGATATTTAGTCTGTCTCTGTGCCAGGAAGAGAGTCTGGCTCATGATAGGTGTTCAACTAGAATTTGTGGAATTAATAAATGGACTTAAGAAAGCAAATGCTCACATCTCTTCTTTATTTTTTAGAGCTAAGTATTATAGAGATAGATTTCTTTACCTTCTTTCTCCTACCAATCTGTCTGATAAATAATTATCCATGAAACATAGATGCAGATGATTCCACATATCATGAATAATCCAATCTGAGTTTTGTTTCCAGTGTCTGATACTTAAACCTTGTATATTCTCAAAAAATATACTAACATTATTTAAATATCTGATATTTTCAATTCTTACTTTATCTATATTACAATTGCAAGATTGATATTTTATAGCAGCAATATGAATGAATGAAGGAGCAGCATAGCATTCAGGCTTAGATGTGTGCTCTGGACCTGGTCAGCTTGGATTAAACTCCTAGCTCTGCCCCCTAATATTTGTGTGACCTTGGGCAAATCACTTGATGTCTGTGAGTTTGGTATTCCCATCTGTGAAATAAGGATAACAACAGTACTTATCTCATAGGGTTGTTTGAAGATTAAACAAGTCATGTAAAGTATTATAAAAGTGCTCAGTACATTGTAACCATTCGATAAATATTAACTGTCATTCAATGCAATAATAAACATGATCACATCTCAATTACGTTCGATGATATAAAAAATTTATCTTTTAAAATTAAAAACAATGTTCTCAAAAGTTATTGATGCAACATTACCAAAATAAGCAGAAAAAAAAATCTAAAAAAAAAAGTACAATTTTTTTTTCCTAACAAATACGCTGCCTTACAGATAGCTGGAGGACTCCTGACATCCAGTGGTTAATCACACTCATAGCAATCAACTGGCTTCGACTCAAGTCACAACAATATATGATGGAAACAATAAAAAAACTTTCTGCCCTTATTCTTACTTGGATTGTCTTTCCAAAGTCATCAGAATTGGTAAGTATTTTGCAAAAAAAAAAAAAAAGTGAGCAATCAATTTCCATTTAGAAGCAAAATCTGTTCTTTCTATGACAGGAAGTATAATGGTATCGTAGAAAGAGTCTGTGTTTTCAAGTAAGACAAACAAGAGTTCAAATCTTCACTTTGTTATTTTCTATGTCTATTACTTTGAGAAATTAATTTATCTAAGCCTTAGCATTTTTCTCCCCTTGGCAATCTCCAAGCTAAAAAAAGAAGGTTTTAAGCTTTTTATTGGAAAATAAAATAAAGTACACATGTATAGTTTCATAAGTTACATAAGTAATTATTGATTGAACATCTATAATCACCTCCTAGGTCTATAGGAAATAGGACTTTGCCAGAGACCAAAGAAATTCTTCTACAATCCATCCTTCCTTATTCCTTTCCCCTGCCATAAATAACTACTCTTCTGACTTGTAATCACTTTCTTTAGAGTTTCATCATCTAAGTGCACTATGCCTGCACTATAGTATTGACAATATATTTTTAAAATTTTTGCTATGTCCTTTAAGTCTTTTCTGATCTGCAGGTTATGCTCTCCATCCCCTTCTTGTCCTTTCAACTAATCTTTGAAGAACCCAAATGCTCTGTAGTTTCCCACAGCCTGAACTTTGCTGATTGCATTTTCGTGGTGCAGTTCCATGTCCCACTGTCTCCTCTGTTTCTTGCAAATTGGTAACTGGCTCCAGATACTTAATCAGGCTTGGGTTTGATCTCTTTGGCAAAACTATAGCTAGTTCTGTGTTCCTTCTTTGGGGGCTATGTTGAATCTCGTTGACTACATCCATTAATTTATTGGGGGCTATATAATGGTGGTATCTAATTATATCTTTTAAAATTATTTAGAATACTTTTATAAAGGAATGTTTTTGCTCATCTACTCTTTAGTTACTAATGGCACAGTTTATATATATGTGTGTGTATATATATATGTAAAGCAGAATAAATGCTTAAGTCTTTCTTTTTACAAGTTTTTAAGATAATGAGTTGATTTTCTATCATCTTCTGGAGCTGACCAGTTTTTTAAATAAATGTATATTTAATAAATCATTCTATTGTAAAGATACAAGCACACGTATATTCATTGCAGCACTATTTGCAATAACAAAGACATGGAATCAACCTAAATGCCTATCAAGAAAATTTGGTACATATACACCATAGAATACTATGCAGCTATAAAAAGGAATGAGATCATGTCCTTTGCAGGGACATGGATGGAGCTGGAAACCATTATCCTCAGCAAACTAATGCAGGAACAGAAAACCAAACACTGCATGTTCTCACTTATAAGTGGGAGCTGAATGATGAGAACACACAGACACGTGGAGGGGAACAACACATACTGGGGCCTGTCGGAGGGTGGCTGGGGGAGTTTCAGCATCAGAAAGAATAGCTAATGGATGCTGGACTTAATATCTAGGTAATGGAATGATCTGTGCAGCAAACCACCATGGTACATGTTTACCTGTGTAACAAACCTGCACATTCTGCACATGTACCCTTAAAACTTAAAATACAAGTTGAAGGAAAAAAAAGAAAAAAAAAGAAAAAAAACCCACAAATCAATATTTTAAATGGTTGGTTTTTAATCAATTGAAACCATTGCCCTTTTTGAAACTTAAATTGTCCCATCTTTGGCCAGTTGTAGCCTCTTCAAGTTAGCGCCTGAATTCTTTTGTCATGAATCGTGTAGTCTTTGCTTTCTTTGCTTTCTTTGCTTTCTGGTATGACCAGATGTTCCAGGTTCATCTTATTTATTTCCTTCCCCAGATGCAATCATCCATTTCTCAAAAACAAAACAACCTCCAGCAAAAACCCTGGTTTCTTTTCGTAGGAAATGGCATTTCCAGGCCAAAATCTGTGTTGCAGGAATGCTCATTGCTACTAGGTTTATCATTATTTCTAAGACTTATCTGTAAACAGACAGATGCACACACACACACACACACACACCCCTGACACACACACCCCCACCCCCTACAGCATAGTCCTCATGCACACAGATGCTTTCAAGATACAATAGCTTATGAGTTTATATTGTTACTTCTAATTCAAATTCAGGACTACAGGATTTTTCTTTAATCGCTTCTCTATTACATCTGTATTTTCTTTCTGACACACTGACAATCTTTGGTTTCAAGGATACAAAGAATGGAATTGGAATGTTCCTTAATTACTCATTTGCTGAATATATCTCTCATTCTCAGCATAGCAATATTAATATTATATCACCATCAATATTTTAAGATATTTAAAAATATGTATTTTAATTATTAAATATTATTTATTTTATCTACTTACTAATATTCAAAAATGAATAATTGTGCTGTATCTGTCTTATCAGCGCATATAACCATTACGTGTTGCATCTTCTCACTTTTAACTCTCACTTAGTCTTGGCATTTTGTTTAGTGTTAGTCTTGTTTAATACTAGTTCTCATGCTGCTATCTCACTAATCATTTTGGGTTGTCTAAAGGCCATTTCTTAGTGGATCATTCAGACGTCAGTAAGAGGAACAATATTTCCTGAGTTCTTGCATACTGACAACAGTTTGCCTACATTGATCATTGGAAGTCAATTTTGCTGTGTAAGCATCCTTAGTTCACATTTTCCTTCCATGAAGAGTCTTAAATATGTGACTCCATTTTCTTTTGGCATAAAGTATTGTTGATGAAAAGTTTAATAATAATCTATATTTTCCCTTATAAGTCACTTGTTCTTTTTGCCTATGTGCCCAAAGGATATAGTATTTTGTATATTATAGTTTCAAATCTTTCTTTTTTATTACAAGTTTTTCTTGAAACTTAGTTTTTTATATTTGTTATGTTCCCTTGATTTGGTTTTCCTTTTCAAGGAATCTTATTATCCATGTATTGACTATTCATTGTCGTCAATGTTTTTAACTCATTGTCTTTCAAATCATTTTATCTAAGCTACAGGGATGCAAAAGCATAAGAATGATACAATGGACTTTGAGGACTCAGGGGGAAGGGTGGGCCAGGGATAAAAGAGTATACATTGGGTACAGCGTACACTGCTTAGGTGATTAGGTGCACCAAAATCTCAGAAACCACCACTAAACAACTTATCCATATAACCAAACACCACCTGTTTCCCCAAAACCTATTGAAATAGACAAATATATATATATATAAATCCTTTTATCTATTTCTTCATTTATATTTGATTTAAAATTTTTCTTTCATATCCTCTTATAACTCTCAATGTATTGTCGACTGTGTTGCTAGTTCTTGTTTTCATTCTAGTTCAGTCTTCACATTTGAAATTAATTTTTTCTAATTTTATTCCTAATTCTTCCTCAGTTGTTAACTGATTTCTGAATTTTTCAAATTTTGACTCATGTTGTTCATTCATATCTGATATTATTTTCCTCATGCTTTTTAGCTCATTTTGAAATAGCAGGTTTGAATTTTGATTGTTCTGGAGTGTGTTTTTTTAGTTATGTATTCATTGCCCATGGGGATATCATTCTGTTCTTTCTGTTTTTTCTTACTATTATGGGATTTGACTGTGATATTTTCTGTTGTTCATTTTTATTTGCATTTAGTTTTCTTGAATTTTTAGAAGGATGCTTGGTAGCAGATAGCTCTTCTAACTTTACAGAGCTTCTTATTCTATTATTTTCTTGCAATGACCCAAAATACGGTGGTTAGATCTCTGCGGTTTCCTGGCTCTGTCTGCCACCCCCACTTTTTTGTGGGCCCTTTCTTGTTTCTGTCCTGCTTGATTCTTGATTTTACTCTCAATGAGGGCGTAAGTCCAGGAAGGGAACGTAGAGAAGTGGTTTTCAAGAATGCATAGGGTCTAGACTATTTTGTAATTTCCCTTAGCCTTAGCTTTTTATTTGTAAAAAATAAGCATGATAATACTTAACTCTACAATATTTCATAGCACACTGTACATATACATTTCAGATACCTCACATAAACTTACCATGTAATAAAAACATAAAAATGCTACTTTAGTTTTAAAACTAACTAAATGTATTAAGTAATTTAAATATTCTAGACACTAAGCACCTTATATGCATTATTTCTTTAGATTCCCACAACAACCTTATGAGGTTAATACTATCCTACATCTACTTTGCAATGGGAAAACCTAGGCATAAGAAGAATAAGTAACTTGCTCAAAGTCACACAACTAGACTGTCTATCTTGGTCTTTTTATAGGAAATAAAAAATCCTCCTCCACTTAGAGAAGCAAAAATGGTAACAATAAATTGTTGCTTTTTTTTCATGAAAACATCAGTCCTGAATTACATATGCATTTTATAATCTAGCAATCCTACTCCGAGGCAAGGCCAGAATTCCATTTCATTCTAGGTCTATCTGACCCCAGAGCTCAATTTCTGGGCTAACAATACTATATTACTCTTCAGATTCTCCAAGATTCCTGTTTTAGTTGCCGCAAAATCTCTTCTATTACAGAACTAATTCCAAGAGAAGGCTGATTCAGGTATATTAAAGGTGTCAAATTATTTAAATGCCATATAAAATTCTATAATGCTTCTTTAGGCTTCATGAAATTAATGTCCAACTAGTTTTTGAAAGTTTATTTTCCCAAACTCATATTTTGAAAGCGAAAGCATCTCACATCTATGATATTTTTCTGGGTTTTATTTGTATTTGGATTATTTTAAAATGTACTTTCACTGAAACTTGTATAATTCATTTTCATGATCAACTTTCATCTAGAAAAGACAAAATGGCCTGTCTATACATACTAACCTATGATGGTAGGACTTTGTCAATAAAGACCTCAGAGAAAGCATGTCAAAAAGAATAATTCTAATCCCTTCCATTAATTCATTTACTCCATATTTATTGAAATGTACTACTTATTAGGCACTATGCTAAGCCTTGCGGATATAACAAGAAACAAAGTAGATCTCTAACCATGTGGAGCTTGCAGTCTACATATTGTATGATATTATAGAAGTTAATTTTAAAGATAAATTGTAATCAGTATGTTAATATAGTTGTAGTGTTACTTATTACACAATTACAAAGCCAGAAAATAAAAAGAAAAATGAAAATATGTATCCTACAACAGAGGAGGTGTTAAGGATGATTTTAAAACCCAGATAATTCTGGAAATACAGTAGAGTAGCATAGAAAAAGTATCAAAGAAGACATTAAGAAATTTCCCCCATATATGGTCTTAATTTAAAAATTGTAGGCGAAACTTTTGGTTTTTACCTAGTATTTGGCGGATTTCTGGCCATTCTCTCTGTACTTCTAGTGCAGACTTCAGTTTAGCACACAGAGGAACATAATCCATGTAATCTATTAGTACGCGAGTAACTCTGCCTACCAAGTGCTTCATCCAAGGAACTGTAATAAACTCACAGAACTGAGAGAATTGATAAAATTTAATTTAGTAATATTTTTTAGTATACCATATACATAAACACTCAATTGTGTTATGGAAAAATTACTCTTTGTCTTATTACAGAAAATAAAAGATCCCTCCTTGTAATGAACAAAAATTAAAAATAAATTGTTTGCTTCTCTCTGTGAAACCATCAGCCCTGAAGACTCGCCTGGCTTTGATGTGACTGTGGTCAGCAGAGCATGGAGGAGTCACGCTTCTTTCCATCTGGCCCCAATATTCCACCAAACAGGCAGAAGTGACTAATTGCCTACATTTTCACATTCTTCTACATTCAGTTTTCAAGTCAAGAAAAAACAAACAGCATCTTTTTTTTTTTTTGGCAGGGGGGCTAGATTTATGCTTATATCCCCATATCATTGCAAACAAAAGTTGAAGAAAAATTAAAATAGAAAAATTAGAGTTTATTTTTCTTGTCTTGTAACATCCCTACTTGAATGAATAGGTCTTAAATTAGGATGATGACCCAATATAAAGCAGAAAAGGCATAACTCACCGGGTTATCTTTTATTACACAAGATGTCCATCCTGGCAGCACCTCTTCCTCTATCTCTGACCACACAAATGAATTTCCAAAGATGTCACCATGCATGCAGTCAAAGCACATCTCCACTTGATAGCCATTATTCAGCAATAGCCTCAGCATTACCTCATCGTTTAGGGCATACTGAATGACACTGGGGAAACGAGTGTCATTCACATGCATAAAATAACAATTGACATTGGCGCCATGAGAGAGAAGCAGTCGGACAATTTCATAATTATTGGCCCTCACTGCCACAAGTAGACAGTTGAGGGGATCTAAGTTTGGGTCTGCACCTGCAGCCAGAAGGACTTCTGTGCAACGAACATCATTATTAGAAACGGCAAAATACAGCGCAGTCTTCCTCTCATCGTCATAGCTCTGGGAAATGTGGTCAGCAAGTGGAGTGTTGACATCGAAACCATTTTCAATGAGCAGCTCTAGACACTGTGCACTTTGCCCATCTGCTGCTGAGTGAATTGGTGTTAGCCCACTTTTCCGAATTGCATTTTTAGATGTTGCTGGGATAAGATATTTCAGTGCACTAAAAGAAAAAAAGTCAAATATCTACGTGCCATAAAGAAAATCAAGAAATTAAATAAACTACCATTCTCACTAGATAAGTGATGCAAATCGTATAGTTTCCCTTATTTTCTCTAGATAACTTTGTACTAAAACATTTAACCTTTGTCTGCAAGGTACAACTATTTAGTTTAGTGTAATGTAGCTCAGTTTTGATTTAGCTTTCTGTTCTAAATATTCCTAGGAAACTGAATCTTATACGTTTTTTCCTAGAATTGTGGTTCCTCGGGAACCCTCCCCATCTTCCAATTCTCCTCTGAACAATATAATATTTACAGACAACCAATACTATTTTTAAAAATATAGGAGAAAAGTAAGCCTTTCTAATGCCATAGAGGACTGTTTCGTAATCTTGACCATTAGGATCATGGGGTCATAGGAAGTGACGCTGGATGTTATTTAGTCCAACTGCTTCATTTAATAGAACAATCTGAAGTCTGAAGAGGCAAAATGATTGTCCAAGGTCACACAGTTAGATGTAGAACAGGACGAGAATTTGGGCCTTTTCGAATTCTTATGAATTATTTCTCTTTCACTAATTCCTACACAATCTATTTTAAAATATTGACCATGTACATTCTGTCTGCTTCCATATAACTTGCAATTGAATTATTAGCCAAAAGAAGAGTCTTTAATATTCCATCAACCTTGCATCAGTCCAATTGAGATAACCAACCACAGTTTATATTTCTAAGTACATGTGATATAGTTGTGAGTTTCACACTTGACTAACCAGCTAGACATGTATGAGAGCTACATGGCAAGGATAACCTGATCTCCTGTGCCTACTTTATGAATTTATGAACACTGGGATTAAATCCAGGTAAACTCTAACAACATGTCACTTAGCATCAATTATGCGTCACTGGCCACTTAGCCAATGGCCCACTGAAAACTATAAAGCCCAATTACTTCAAAGTTTTTGATCTTATGAAATATATTTAATTGCCTAAAACCATCTTCTCATGGTGGGTAGTTTAATATAGTGATCTAGATTTCTACCAATGTGTTAATTTTGTACATTTTGTGATTTAAGAATCTATTCAACCATTTGTATGGAATGAAGAATTCTAAACTTATAACGAAACTTTTCTGTTCAAGAATATATTTGACATTATACTGTAATATCTTGGATATGTTAGGAAATAATTGGAATAACACTGATAGTATTGTTACAAATTTTAATCCTTTGTCAAGGGCAAAATTTTTAGAAACTCTGTAGCCTTTTGTTAAATACGTTTGCAAACAAAAAGGCACTCTTGAGTGGCTTGTGCAGAATTCTCACTTACAGCTTAATTCCTTCTAAAAGAAAATTTATTTTCGTTATAGAAGCACTACAAATTCATTTTTTGGAAGTACAAGAATATCAAGAGGAGGAAAATTAAATGAGCTCTAAATATCTAAATATGGAGCATCAAAACCTGAAGATTATATGTATTTCTCCTCAGATTTTGAAAGGTATTACATATAGACTTGTGATTATAGTGTATACACAAATTTGCATTTTTAACTCCAATAATTATCCTATAATTTATCACTCACAGATAATGCCCCTCATAGGCAGCTCGGTGTATAGGAAGATGCCCTGCTCGATTAGGTACATTTCCGCTTCCTCCATATTCCAGCAGGAGGGAAATGCAGTCGGGATTGCCACCTCCTGCTGCCTCAAACATCACCGACGCCCCATCATCCGCCAAAGCAAGCACATCACCACCTGGCCGTATAAAACATGTGGCATGATGATAACTGGATGGTATTGTTTAAACAATCCCCTTAAAAACAACCTGTTGTGGTACTGGGTGCAGTGGCTCACGTCTGTAATCCCAGCACTTTGGGAGGCTGAGGTGGGCGGATCATGAGGTCAGGAGTTCGAGGTCAACCTGGCCAACATGGTGAAACTCTGTCTCTACTAAAAATACAAAAATTAGCTGGGCATGGTGGCACATGCCTGTAGTCCCAGCTACCCAGGAGACTGAAGCAGGAGAATCACTTGAACTGGGAGGTGGAGGTTGTGATGAGCCGAGATCACGCCACTGCACTCTAAACTGGGCAACAGAGTGAGACTCCATCTCAAAAACAAACAAACAAACAAACACCCCCCACAAAGCCTGTTGTGTTCAATTCTGGTTAGGACTTAAAAAGTACAGAATTAAGGGCCTCTATGTTTTCTATATTTTCAATAAAACAGTCATGAATGCCTCACGCTTCGTTTTATTAGAAAATCTTTGGGCCAAAAATCAAGGGAGAAATGAAGTCAATTTTCTTGAAAGGCAAATTCTTCCGAAAAAGGCTCATTAGACTTTTTAATTTAAAGACAAGAATTTTTTTGGTTTTTTTGTTTTGTTTTGTTTTGTTTTTTGAGATGGAGTCTCACTCTGTCGACCAGGCTGGAGTACAGTTGTATGATCTCAGCTCACTGCAGCCTCCACCTCCCGGGTTTAAGCAGTTCTTCTGCCTCAGCCTCCTGAGTAGCTGGGATTACAAGCATGTACCACCACAGGGTTTTGCCATGTTGGTCAGGCTGGTCTCCAACTCTAGGCCACAAGTAATCTACCCACCTTGGACTTCCAAAATGCTGGGATTACCGGCATGAGCCATGGCGCCCGGCTCCCTCTAGTTTAACTTAACAAATACTTACAGTTAATAAAGTGTTAACAAATACTTTATTGCCCTCTTATGTGCAATCAGTGTGTGTGACCCCAAGAAGAATAAGTGTGACTACTCTAAGGAGCTTAGAGGGGAAATGAAACAAAATATCAGACAGCACAAGCTGTATGATATTCCAGTGACACTGACATTAAGACAAGGAGACATGATGTAGGGGACAGGGGTTCTGCTGCTTATGGTGAGAGCTGGGGGCCAGCCGTTTACTTCCGTGCACCTCCATCTCCACATCTGTGAATGATGAATGCAGCTTACTTCACAGGGCTTATTTGATACTTAAATGTGCTTGTATTGGGAGACCTCAAAAATGTTAGTCTTTTTCCCATAGGGAATCACTGGGGATCATGTGGTGCTAGCGTTCATTTGTGGATGAGGACGCTGAGAACCAGATATTGAAGGAACAAGGCTAGGGACTCACAGTGAGTAGTGGCTCAACCAGTTTAGGAGTTAGGTCTCCTTAACTCATGGTTCTGTAGTTGTATAAAGCACCTGGAGAGTTTAAAGGAGGGCAATGTCACAATCTGTTGGGAAGAATTAGGAAAGGATTTAGGGAGGAGGTGTCTCAAGAGATTGACTTTGAATTGTGCTGAAGAGATGAAGGCAAGGACCTGACCCAAACCTAGAGAGAAGGAATGTAAGGTATGTTTGGGAATATTGCTAGTGTATTTTGACTGGAGTGTAGGATACAAGATGGGAGCAGTGAGGGATAAACGTGGTAAAACAATTTGAGATGATGCAGTAGGGATTATTTTTTGGATAGCTGACACTATTGTAGCTGTCCTTTAGGAAGGGAAGACAAGTTGCAGTATGTACTGTGATTCTCTGATGGGAGATTAGAAACCCAGAAAATGGTTAGAAAGTATTTACACTGGTCCAGGGAGGATTGAGGGACCTGATCAGGATGGCAGATGGATTGCAATGAGAGGACAAGAGAAACGCTACAAGAGTTTGCAACTGATTGGATTTAGGAAAGCAGGTGATGGAGGAATTAGAGATAAACCCAACCTTTTGATCCTGTCAAGAGAAATTATTACATCAGAAAAGTGGAAAAACAGGAGGAATTCAGTTTAGGAGAAGATGAACATGAGGCCCTGATGAGCCATCTATGTGCAGATTGAACTGTCTTTCTCGAGAGCAATCAGGACTGGACTTGTAAATGTGCAGGTCACAATGCATAGGGCTTAGCTGAGTTGTATAAGGGACCAGCTGGGAAAACCTGATGCCAAGTTCCATTTAGCAGAGGAAGAGGAGCTCCCCTAGTTACATTCAAGGGAGGAAGAGTGAGGAGAAAAGGAGAGTTCGAGAGGCAGGACAAAAGTCAGGAAAGCGTAACTCCTTTTCACATACCTTTGTGGATTAGATGTTCTAACACATCACAGTGACCATATTCGGCAGCAACGCCTAATGGTGTGACTCCAAATCCATCTCTCAGGTGGACATTGCCTCCGTGTTTTAGCAGCAGAGATATGATATCTTTTCGGCCTTGCTTGGCTGCTTCATGCATTGCTGACCATCGCTTGACACAGGGCTGGTCCAGACTCGTGTTGTGTTTGATCAGAGTTGATACCATATCATAGGAGCCCTTTTTGACAGCTTGAAAATGATTGTTAAAAACAACAGTAAGTATATTAACACAAATACTTTGGGGGTATTAAACTAATTACTGAATTTAATATTGAAATAGATACTAGCTAATAACTTTTTTTCTACAAGGAAAATAATGTATTTCTCATATCCCTTCTATTTCTCATACCCAAGTTTATATTTGTGAAATATAAGTTTACAAGATGACACTACCTTTCCTTTAAGACCTGGAGGAGGGGTAAGAGTTTCACAGAAAATAACATATATCACCAGGATAGGATGCTGTGTGCCCTCTTTCTAAACTTTAATTTCTTCACCAACAGAATGGAAATAACATTTGTTGTTGGGTTACACAAATTAAATAATGTATGTAAAATTCTTAGTGTAGTACCTAGTATATAACAGGAGCTCAGTAACTGACTATTATTATTATTCAATCGCTCTTAGGATCTGGGAACCTCATATGTAAATAATGTTCATCAGGTTTCCCCTATAGAAACAGGGTTTTTTCCCTCACCACAAAAGATAGCAGTAAGTATTGAATGAACTTGTCTTTCTTATATATATATTTTCTTTCTTTCTTTCCTTTTTCTTTCTTTCTCTTTTCTTTCCTTTTTTTTTTTTTTTTTTTTTTTGAGACAGAGTCTCACTCTGTCGCTCAGGCTGGAGTGCCATGGCACAATCTCAGCTCACTGCAACCTCCACCTCCTGGGTTCAAGCAATTCTCCTGCCTCAGCCTCCTGAGTAGCTGGAATTACAGGCGCACGCCACCAAGCCTGGCTAATTTTTATATTTTTAGTAGAAACAGGGTTTCACCATGTTGGTCAGCTGGTCTCAAACTCCTGACCTCGTGATCTGCCCCCGTTGGCCTCCCAAAGTGTTGGGATTACAGGCGTGAGCCACGGCGCCCGACCCTCTTTCTTGTATTTTTAATGGGTGATTATCAATAAGATCATTTAGAATCTGCATAGGCCAGTTGCTCCCAGTGAGTGAAGTGAGGGCTAATGTAGTACAATTAAGGAGGTTCACCAAATCAGTTGTCTCTCTCCTTCTCTGCTCGTCTCTAATGGCTGAAATTATACTGTTACGAGGTTTTTCCTCTTTTGGATTATTAAGAGATTGTCCCCATTTAGATGTATACACTTCTAAAAATGTAACTTTTTTTTTCCTTGTAAGTAAAATCTTATTAAAAAACAGATTAGGATGAGCGCTACCCCCTACAAATGACGATATACACAGTCACATTCACTCATTCATTCATTCACTCGCTCATTTACTATTCAGTTAATACGGCTGGTTCTGCTAAAGGCTCTGTGTTATGCTCTGTGGACAACAAGAAGAATAGACAGATTTGGATTTCACTCGTAGAGTTTACGGCCTAGAGAAGAAGCCTATGCTACCTTCTATTTAAAGAGAGACTCAAAGTCTGGGCCTATACTGGGAAACGTAGAAGAAGATGTGAGTCCGCATGGAACATTCCGGGGTAACCAGGAGGCAGAATGCAGAAAGGATCTAAAGCCAAGGCGAGGAAAGCAGCTCCCAATGTGGTAATGGGAGGGTGAAGACAAACTTTGCCTACTTCATCTGGGAGCAGGCAAGCTATGCCTGCAGGAGACGCCAGTTTCTCTCCCTCTTCTTGTCTAAAGTAGAACCTGTTGACAAATGCCTCTCTCTGAATTGCCCAACTGTCAGTGGCAGCTCTAATTACAGTGAATGACCTCATGCTAGCTGGTGTTATTGCAGAGCAAGCATCACGTAAGCTAAACAAACTAAGAGATCCTCATGGATCTTCTTGCTCTGATGGCAGGTTTTATAATTAGAGAAAAAAAATGTATTAAAATAATGAGCCTCTTTGCCCACCATCTTTTAACCTTTTGTCTGACTCAGAAAACATAGTGATTAAAATAGTTTCTCTTCATGAAAATAACTGCATAAATGTGTCATCTTCAACTTAAAATAGTTTTTAAAAAATCATAACTTCACTTCCAATTTAGTTTTATGAAATCAAGAATATATTTTCCATAGAAAGAATAATGCAAATAGTAGGAAACCCCTTCCAAGCTAACTCACGAAGACATTCTGAAGCAATAAATGACTGAAATAATGAAAACTCATAAAGCACGGTACTGGTGTAACTTAGCTGATTAAGTAAAATAATTTTAAAATGTCTTGTTTTACATATGGATATATATGTTTACATATTATATATAATTTTTTTCTCTAGAACTTAAAATTCTAAAATTTAGAATTCTTTAGATTTTTTTTTAGAAATGTTCAAATTCTTTATTAAGTTTTTAAATTTATAGCTTCAATAGTAATGCTTAAAACTGACTTAAGTTGAAGAGTTTAGGGAATTAGATTAAGAATTTTGCATAGATGATAGGAAAGGGTTATCTTGATTATCTTGACAAGGACTGGCGGATTAAAAGCGGAAATGGAGTGAAGAGGATGTGTATTGATTTGTGAGAAAGAAAATGTCTGAAGCAAAATGAACTGATCTGTGAATGGCATAAGGCCATCAGGAATGGAGGGCAGTGGGACTGAAGCGTTATGCCAGATGATCCCTGAGTATCCTCCTTACTCTGGGCTCCACTGGCCAGGATCAGCTTGTGCCTATCCAACTAGGCAAAGGTGACACCAACTCCAGGGGAGTGGGCAGAGAAGGAGTCCAAGTGCAAAAACCTTTAGTAAGTGTCAGATCATCACAAATCAGGTATCTACCACTCAGCAAGTAACTGTATAACATGACTGTAGTACATCAAATTACCTTAAATATGGAAGGGCCAGATGACTGATAGGGAATAAGGGCCCTAGAGGGACCAAAAATGATTTTTTTCTTGGCCCTCTAAGGGTATCTCATAAATAGAGAGAAGGATGATGGCATTAGGATAAGAAAAACTAACATGGCATTGTATAGACAAAAAGAATAAATACTTTTTTCCCTCTTATCTCTCCTCTACAAGTTAAGGGACTCTGAATAGCAAATCTCAAAGAAGACCATATATTCAAGAACAAACTGAGGAAGTGCCATGAACAATCCATTTTCCTGCAAAACCTAAGAAGACTTGGCATGGCTTCCACAACAAAGGTGCTGATTAAGGTAATCCAGGAAAAGTCCCTCTTCCCCAGATGTGTGGCTGATGAGGATGTACACGAGCACCTCCAGAATATTAACTTCATGGAAACTGTAGTCCTCTCTTGATCTTACCACTTAGTTTTTAAAATATATTGTTTCCTAAAATTAATTCTATTTCAATTCTGATAATTCAGTGATAAGAGTTCCTTTCCTACACTTTAGATATTGCTAGCACAGAGAATGAAACCAACATGGAACTTTGAAATGCATGTAAATGTTTACTGCTCTGTTGTAGGCCTTAAGCATTAAAGAAAAATATAAATGAAGCCAAAAGAAAACAAGGAGTGATAATCACGGCTTAGTTGTCCTTTAAGAAATAAGTGGATTGAAACTTACAAGTGGAGAATAATTCTCTATTTGCAAAGTGAAGCAGTATACAATTCTGGAAGTGTATCCTTTTTGTGCAGAAATTCAAGGTGATCTATAGAAACAACACAGATGTTGTTGCAAATACTCTGTGGTATATTCTGGGCTTTAAAAAATAATATAGGTCATGGGCCGGGTGCAGTGGCTCACGCCTGTAATCCCAACACTTTGGGAGGCCGAGGAGGGCAGATCACAAGGTCAGGAGATTGAGACCATCCTGGATAACATGGTGAAACCCCATCTCTACTAAAAATACAAAAAATTAGCCAGGTATGGTGGCGGGCACCTGTAGTCCCAGCTCCCAGCTACTTGGGAGGCTGAGGCAGGAGAATGGTGTGAACCTGGGAGGCAGAGCTTTGAGATCGCGCCACTGCACTCCAGCCTGGGCGACAGAGCAAGACTCAGTCACAAAACAAACAAACAAACAAACAAAACAGGCTGCATTACTAGTGGCGAATCAACGCCCACAGATACATACTCTGTTTAATGTCTATCGAGCCTACTCAGGAAAAGAGTTCTGGTTTATTTATGGAAAGTGTCATGTGACTGATTTAAAGGCAGGCTCAAATGTATGCAGAGACTATCATTGGTTTCTCAGTATTTATGCTTCCCCTTTTCCTTTTAGCCACAGAGGCCCCAAGTATTTAGCTTGCCACAGACCATCCAGGTAGACACTAAATGTCCTGGCCTCCTTTGCCCCAAGGTGTGGTGGCATTGTGACAAAATCTGAACTAATGGGACATGAGGGGAAAGGCCATGTGCACTGTCCAGGTCATCTTTTTAAATTGAAGATGCTTGCCTAGAGCTTCCTCTTTCCTCCTTCCTGCTGCCTGGAAAATGGTGACATTGGGAGCAACCTTGGAAACACACTGTAATGTTGACACAGCCACTCTCACAACCCTGGGCCATTCTGCAATGTGTGAGAGAGAAATGACTTCTTTCTCTTTAAGTCATTCCTGTTTATTTGTTTGCTTTGTGGATCTGTTTTTGGTTTTTGTTACAGAAGCTTTGTCTGTATTCTAACTATATGGATTAGACTGTTTTTCTCATCTTATCTGAATTTGTGAAGGCTGAAAGCTCTGACATGGAGCAAGAGTAGGCAAGAAGGGGCCAGGCACGGTGGCTCACGCCTGTAATCCCAGCACTTTGGGAGGCTGAGGTGGGCTGATCATGAGGTCAGGAGATCAAGACCATCCTGGCTAACACGGTGAAACCCCGTCTCTACTAAAAACACAAAACATAAGCCGGGTGTGGCGGCGGGCACCTGTAGTCCCAGCTACTCTGGAGGCTGAGGCAGGAGAATGGCGTGAACCCGTGAGGCAGAGCTTACAGTGAGCCGAGATTGCACCACTGCACTCTAGCTTAGGTGACAGAGTGAGACTCTGTCTCAAAAAAAAGTAGGCAAGAAGGAAGGAACCAGGCCAAAATGACACCACGCTGTGGAGACCGTCTTCACTGAGCAAGCTATACTGGGGCAGAACACCTGCCTCGGAGTCTGCCACTCCCGTCTGCTGATGTTCCCCTATACAACCCTCAAGACAATCCAAAAGCAAGGCTCTTCGAAGCCTTCACAGATTTACTGCTCTTTTATTCTCCTAATGTAATTTAAATATATACTTTATTATAGCACTTATAACACTAATTTTCCATTTAAATTACATTTAGCTTTCCTCCTAGACTCTGAGAGGAGGAAGATTCGTCCATTCATGTTTATATCCACACTGCCCAGGACACTCTCTAACTTAATGTGACTTTTTTTTTTTTGAGACGGAATCTTTCTCTGTCACCCAGGCTGGAGTGCAGTGGTGCAATCTTGGCTCACTGCAACCTTCACCTCCCAGGTTCAAGCAATTCTCCTGCCTCAGCCTCCCAAGTAGCTGGGATTACAGGCAGCTGCCACTAAGCCCAGCTAATTTTTGTTTTTGTATTTTTAGTAGAGATGGGGTTTCACCATGCTGGCCAGGCTGGTCTCAAACTCCTGACCTCGTGATTCGCCCACCTCGGCCTCTCAAAGTGCTGGGATTACAGGCGTGAGCAACCGTGCCTGGCCAATGTGACTTCTTAATACATGTTTTTTGCATTGATATTGTTGAATCAATGCCATCAAATATAAATATTTTACTAATGTTCATGATTTATCCAAGTTTGCTTAACAACATTCAGATTTTCTTAATATTCAGGCTGCTTAATTTTTTTTAAGTGATTCCTCTGTGAACAGGAGCTGTGATGGTTCTTAACTAGCTATGACCTTTAATGTCTTCCTCTGTGATTGCTGGTAAATAATCTTATGTCCTGTCCTCCCTCTCCTCCTGCTCCTGCTCCTCTTCCCTCTCCTCCTCCTGCCACACAGACAACTTCATAATGGCTCTTCCCTCTTGAGCATCTATTACATGTGAAAGCTTTTATATATTTTTTCTCTAATTTTTAATCACAATTCTGCATGGTAGGTGTTGTATTTCCATTTTATACTTGAGAAAACTGAGGCCCATGACTGCTAAGATTTAAACCCAGTAATCTCCATGGTAACACCAAATTCTTACTCCACCATCCTATGTCCCTAAGAGAAAGGAAATGTTATCTCTGGGTCATTTGGAGTTAATCTTATCACTCTCTCCTTTCACAAACGGACTTGCCAATTCTTATTGTTCAACAAATAGCAGGATATACGAGACAGAGCTGGTAAATGTCACCTTCACATTTCCCATTCTTCCCTTGTTGTGTCACAGTGTACCCCTCATAGGTGCCATGCTCTGTGTCTGTGTGCTCAGAATCTGCTGGCTCCCCTTCCTTCCAGCTTTGCCTGATCAGTCTGATGTGAACTTGATCTCTCCCTTTGGGATCCCTTTCCACCTCTTGCTTCTGGCTACATATTGCACATGCAACCCTCTTTACAAGTGGATCCTACCTAGAGAATATTCCTTTAAAATTGCTATCTCTGGCTTCAAAAAACTAATTCAGATCCCTCCTGGTTAGTTGCAGTCTCTACAACTGGATACTGAAGGATATAGCCATCTTTCATATTTCACATCCTTGCAGTATAGGAAAACAAAATCACAGGACAGAAGACAGGGGGTTTAAGCAAGTAGCTCAGGGAATGGAAGGAACTGAGATCACAATTTTAGCCATTATACAGTGATTTCCAATAAATAGTTATTATTTGTTTCAAACGATAAAAGTTCTAGAAAAAAAGGTCATTTACCAATCAGAAGGGGGGTCTCTCCTTTGTCATTTTTTGTGTTGGGCCACACTCCCTTTTCTAACAAAGTTCTTACATTTTTCACCAGACCAGCTTTGACTGCCAAAGTCAAGGGTGTTTCTCCATCACAGGTCTTGAACTCCCAGAGTGTCTTATAGGATGCTGTGACATGAAAGCATTATGTTGAAAAGTTGAAAATACTGACAGGATGTCAAACAAATCAGAGCAACCCAATATTATATACATCAGATTGAACAAAGTCAATTGATGAAAATGAAAAGACTTTGACAAAAGTTTACCAAATGACGGTGAGGATAAAGTAGATGTACATGGAGTTGCTAATCAAATTGACAGCTAGAAAACCAAAATCTGTTTCTAGCTGCTGTTTTGAAAATGGCGCGCTAGGTCTCATTTCTTGATACGTTACAAAACAGTGCTTCAATTCTTTGTATTATAATTTATATTGTAACTGAAATTGTTTTTTGTGAAATGCAGTCTGTGAATGTGGGAAAGAGAATGTACTTGAATGTAGGTATCATTGGGTCAAAATGATCCTTAACATCATCTATATCTGTCTGTCTAGCTGTCTGGTTTTCTAGATGGCTGGCTAATAATCAAGTGTGTATCTCCCAGAAGGTACAACTGTCATGCAACAGTGAAAGCTGAACAATAGGGCACTCTCAAAAGTGTTCTGTAAGATGCTGAGATGTGAAAACACTGTGTTAGAACATAAAAGTTATTGTTAATATTTAACACTGGCTTGATTTGCCACAACATTTTTTAATGCTTACATTAAGAAAAAAAATCAATGTCATGTAAAGACAAATATTTTCAGTACTCCCTGTTGTACTATATAAGAATCTTTTGGAAACAGTTAACTCAAGAGATAGTTCAAAATGAAAAATTTAAAATTGACTTCCAAAAGAAAAGAGTGTTATATATAACTCAATTAATTCATGACATATAGAAACTTTTATCACTATTATGTGATAACCACACCTTTCCACCAACCTGTGTCTCATTCATAGGTAAAAGGATGCAAAAGGTAAACCCCGAATGTCAAAAAAAGTCCTAATTTTTGTACTCTGAGTTTAAAACACGGGTGCTGCCTTTTTCAAATTCCAAATAATATTTTAATCCACCTTTTCTTTCTGCTAGTTATGTTCACTGAAAACACTTATAACATCAACATGTCAATATTCTTGCCCTGGTTTGGTCAAACATGTTTTATGTTCTCTTACCATCCAGAACAATCTCAAGTATTTGTTGAATGGGTTGAACAACAGCTTCGTGTAATGGAAACCATCCTTTTTCATCAGCTTCATCCATTGCATATTTATATTTTACATACTCCTGGAGCTCAAGAATGTGACCTAAATTAAACACATCGACTGATGACTAATCTCTGTTTTTGCAAGGTGGAATCTCCAGTCCATCCCACTGTAGATGGTACCCTCATTTACCTTGTTTTATGGCCTCCACAAGTTTTCTGTTTTGACCACTTAGGGGTACAAATCTATGAGATAAAGAAAAACCATATTTATACTAGATACTAGTGATATATTTCAAGGAACCAAAGATTTTAATTTGTATTGCATTTTTAAACTTAATTTTAATAATCAAGATCCAAATGAGATGCATACAACTGATTTTATCTCCTTAAAAAAGTAAATGTATGGGAGTCAGACACAGAGTATATTTACAATGCATTGATCTAAGAATATTAGTGAAGATGGTGAAATAGAAGAGTACAATGCTATCTCTGAGAGATCTCAAAGCAATAAAAAAGGAGTGAACAATTGGAGTCAGATTCAGAAGAGCTAGGTTCAGATCCTAGCCTGATTTTGTGATTCTGAGGAGGCCAATTAGCCTTTCTGGATGTGGGTTCTTCATCTGAAAACTGATGGAATTAATAGATCTCTAGGGTTTTTTCTAATTTTTAAAATTCTATGCTAAAAAAATGTTTATTGCTTTGAACTTCATAATTGCTAATAAGGTACTTATTTGGGAGCTTATGGTCTAAACTATATATGTGAGTTTTAAATCAACTGTTCCACATGTGAAAATAGGCAGGGCATTTACTAAACAAACTCTCAATCACTGGCCCAGCAGGTCATGATTTAAATCCTCATGGAAGTTTTCTGGTGTGTGTGTTTGTTAAGTGGAAAGAAGGAATTCCATAACAAATTTACTTAACTCTGTTAAGCAGAAACATCTGCTAGCATACCAGGTTGTGAATGCCTTCAAGGGACCTCTAAAGTTCTAAAGCTTGTTGGAGATAAGGGAGATATTTCAGACCAGGGATTTCAATGTACTACGTCTATTTTTTCAAAGCTCAAAAGCAACCATTTTTAAACACTGGATCTCTTCAAAAGTACTACTAAATTCCAGAATACAAAATTTTAAACACTGTAACAAAAAGTAAAGGTAAACTAGTTTATTTCTGTCAGATGTATAATGTCTTTTTTTAAGAAAGAAATTTACTTTTGCAGTTTTAGACTCAATAAATCCTACCTACATAATACATCACTTTTAGGTATATTTTAATTTATTAATTCTTATCATTTAGATAGTAGATAATCAAATAGGTGGTAGTTTGTATATTACTTCGTCATATAAAATAAAAACCTGCAACTCTTCTCTCATTCATTAACTAATGGGCTACGTGGTTTAGCATTATTCTTCATATTTTAAACATACAACAATGGAATATATTACCTATAAAGGGTTAGCTGACTCAGTAGCAGAATGAGCTCTAGAGTGTACAGACCTCTGTATACCAACCTGTCTGTATATTTGTTGTATAAACTGTACTTGCAAATATGTTCAAATTACTCATTGCCCTTTTTGAATCTATATTAATTTAGAAAACAGGCAATTCTATCCAACCAAATTCATCTAGGAATTTTCCACATAGGGTTTTTCCTGTTTTCCACATGAGGTGAGGATTTGTGGAAGATCAGATTGCTAAAACTTATGTACAGTGGCCCTTGGAAAGCTGTTAGATTCCCTATCAGAAAGGAAAGGTCAGTTTTCCTAGAGGAGGAATTAGGAAATGGTGTTCATTTTATCTCACAACAAAATGAATGCCATAAAGAAACTGTGCTGAGGATAGTTGGTTTGAATACTACCTTTCAGGATAAAGTGCAGTCTTGCTGGCTTCAATGGATTCTTGAATACTTAGCTGAATATCATAACTTGTAAGATGGTCTTCATCAGGGTCCTCATTAGTATCCATTCCTGCGTATAATTTTGAAGGAGACGAGTTGATATTATCAACAAATGGCCCAAAACAGTACACAGTATAAACATGAAAAATGCATAGTGAAAAACTAAAATGCATTTTTGATTCCCTGGTTAACAAATACAAATGCAGGTAACATTTGAATCCACATTACATGTGAGGTTGATTTTGTTAACTTAAATGGTCTTTTTTTTTTTTTTTTTTTGAGGCAGAGTCTTGCTCTGTCGCCCAGGCTGGAGTGCAGTGGCCGGATCTCAGTTCACTGCAAGCTCCGCCTCCCGGGTTCACGCCATTCTCCTGCCTCAGCCTCCCCCGAGTAGCTGGGACTACAGGCACCCGCCACTACGCCCGGCTAGTTTTTTGTATTTTTTAGTAGAGACGAGGTTTCACTGTGTTAGCCAGGATGGTCTCGATCTCCTGACCTCGTGATCCGCCCGTCTCGTCCTCCCAAAGTGCTGGGATTACAGGCTTGAGCCACCGCGCCCATTCTAAATGGTCTAACTGTTGAAACCTTTAATAACCTGCCCTTTGAGCATTTCTCTTTCTAACTTTTGACTTTTTTTTTTTTTTTCCAGTAATGACTGCAGTTGGGCTCATAAGAATTCACTTTTTCCTGAGCTTCTGATTGATGCCAATTTTGGCCCATCAGTTTTCTTGGAGGGTGTGTATATAGCACATTAAAAACTTAAAAATTGATCCAATGAGGATAAGATGGATAGTGGCTGTAAGGGAGAACAGTCATCCTTTTACATTCTTTTTCATTTTTTTTTTTGAGATGAAGTCTTGCTCTGTCACTCAGGCTGGAGTGCAGTGGTGTGATCTTGGCTCACTGCAACCTCCGCCTCCTGGATTCAAGCAATTCTTCCTTCTCAGCCTCCTGAGTAGCTGGGGTTACAGGTGCACGCCTCCATGCCCGGCTAATTTTCATATTTTTTTAGTAGAGACGGGGTTTCTCCATGTTGGCCAGGCTGGTCTCAAACTCCTGACCTTGTGACCTGCTCGCCTTGGCCTCCCAAAGTACTGGGGTTTACAGGCGTGAGCCACCGTGCCTGGCCTTTTTACATTCTTTACAAACCATCAATGGTCAACTGCGAAGTCTGACTGGTCTCAGAGCATCATTTGAACATTGTGATAGGGACCATTTTAACTTCATCCATAGACCAGAAACCAGCCCTCCTATAGAGTCCCTATTAACTCCCTTACACAGTTCTGTTACAAGCCACTGCTCTTGACTGGCCCATCCCCCTGAAGAGAATACAGAAAAATGTGAATTAGTCTTCATTTGCTTATTTCTCCCAAATATCAGATTAGGAGAATGAATTTACCATCTTACTCTTTACTATTGAATCAATTGCTTTATTTTATTTAGACAGGACATTTAGTAAATATAGAAATAAAATTTCTATAGCTGACTTGACTGGCTAATATGAAATTAACTTCAATTGATGGTACTTTTCAAGGCTTTTATAGTCTGTATATGAAATTTTACTTTATAGTATGTCTTCTGAATGACAGAAAAACAAAAGGGTACTCTGCAGGCAATTTCCAAAACACAGTTGACACATGCTTTACCTCTTCTCATTCTTCCTCAAGGTTGGATAATTGGATAATAAATGCTAACATCCAAGGCCTCTAACCTGTGTGCAGAACTCATTGACAATATTATGATTAATTGTTCATTGTTCTATAGCAGTGGCCTTAATATCACCTCAGAACAAAAGGTATAGAACCATGCTAATGTTCAGAGACCACACACGAGATAGTCACCATGCTCCACCAAGCCTCACACTGTGGTATCTCAGACTCCTCAAAAGCCACACTAGAGATCTTACTCACCATGTAGACGTAAATGGTATTTTGCTTTTTAATGTATTGTTTATTGGTTCATTGTGTGTCTCTTCTCCTTAGAATGTAAGTCAGGAATAGCAGGGAGTTAGTCTGTGACCTCAGTGCCAAGAGAAGCATCATCTCCTGGTTCGTGCTGTCTAAATATGTGTTGAATAAATGAATTAATGAATTAATAAGTGAGCATTGAAACATAATCCAGGCTCCTCTTTGTTCTTAGAACTGACCATTTCTGAATTAATGAATTAATAAGTGAGCATTGAAACATAATCCAGGCTCCTCTTTGTTCTTAGAACTGACCATTTCCTTCGGATATGGAGTTTCTTTTTTTTCTAACTAAACAAATTTGATCGTTCACTCTGTGCTTAGCTTCATTTGTCTCTCTTCTGTTCTTTTCCATAATATTCCTCTTTATTCACGAGGTCCTCTCAGCTGATCCCCACCCATGGTTCACACTGTGTCAAGGCTAGCCCAAGACATTCCTCCTATGGAAACCCTTGGTGTCATTCTTCAGTTCCTCTCTAGTTGTCTTAGTCTGTGAATATCTCTTCTTATGTAATATTTTTCCAATGTCTTGGTTTATACTCACTCATTCTGTATTTGCTTTACAAGTTCTTTACATACTTGTGTTTGTGTTTTCACTTGGACCATTAGTTTTCTGAGAGGAAACAAAATCTCTTTTCTTTTTTCTCTTTTCCCTCTATTCCCACTCCTTGTCAACTATAGCAAACAGGTGCTGTCTGTGGTCACTGGAATAAAAGTTGTTGACTCATTACTAGCAGACAAGTACTGAGTCTGTCAGCCAGCACCAGTAGATGACAAAGTTCAACCTGTGGCCTCGCCTGGTGACTTTCTCAGTGATATTACTGGGGTGATAGGGGGGATTGTATGGCTCTGGGATTAGTAATAGGATACAGAGCCTTTCACCTATTTAAATCACCAGCTTAAATCTAACCCTGTTTGAAATTTGGGCTTTCAGTGTATGAGAGAGTACAGACTCCATAGAGAACTGAGCTGGTCTCTGGAAAGTATTTTATTTCAATGTTTTTTGTTTGTTTGTTTGTTTTTGTTTTTTCCCCCTACTATCACAAAGGAAGTTACCTAGGTTCCTGTTTGGTATCTCTAATGACCGTAGGGTGAAAATGATGGGAACACTTTCTATGCAGAACAACTCCAATCTAGCACAGGTGTCTGCAGCCTTTTCCTGAAAGCTTTAGATAAAGTGAAGATCTGCATGCAGGTGTACTAAGGTGCCAGTCAGTCAGTCAAAGGAACATTACTGGAATGTACTTAAAGACATCAAGACACAATGATAAAGGCAAGAGAAGAGTAACTTATTTATCTAAACCTCACACAAATTTATCCTTTAGATAAATAAGAGTAACTTATTTATCTAGGACCAGCTCAGTTCTCTATGGAGCCTGTGTTATCTCATAAATAAGAGTAACTGGCCAGGCACGGTGGCTCATGCCTGTAATCCCAGCACTTTGGGAGGCCGAGGCGGGTGGATCACGAGGTCGGGAGATCGAGACCATCCTGGCTAACATGGTGAAACCCCGTCTCTACTAAAAAAATACAAAAAAATTAGCCGGGCGCGGTGGCGGGCGCCTGTAGTCCCAGCTACTGGGGAGGCTGAGGCAGGAGAATGGCGTGAACCTGGGAGACGGAGCTTGCAGTGAGCAGAGATCACGCCACTGTGCTCCAGCCTGGGTGGCAGAGCAAGACTTCATCTCAAAATAAAAAAATTAAAAAAAAAAGAAAGAAAAAGAAAAAAAGTAACTTATTTATCTAAACCTCCTTGAGTGGCTAGGACTCAATCCCACCTAAGGGCCAGCAACAGTCTATGGGAAATTATTTCTATAAAGCACTACTCAGAAGCATGAGGAAAGGTCAGACAATATTTGAACATCTTTAAGATGTATGTATGGGTGTCTCGCATCTCAGTCTAGAGAAATTGACTTTTTTTTTTTTTTTTTTTTTTTGTGGTGGAGTTTTGCTCTTTTGCCCAGTCTGGAGTAAAATGGCACAATCTCAGCTCACTGCAACCTCCGCCCCCCGTATTCATGCAATTCTCCTGCCTTAGCCTCCCGAGTAGCTGGGATTATAGGCACTGGCCACCATGCCTGGCTAATTTTTGTAGTTTTAGTATAGATGGGCCCCCCAATGTGCTAGAATTACAGGCATCAGCCACCATGCCTGGCTTAGAGAAACTGACTCTTAATAAAAGAGAAATCATTTGTTCTCCATAAGTAGCTGATTTACAAAGTAACTGATGCAATCATATTGTACCATCAGCCTCTTCATTCAAAGCACTGGTTAACCTTGCTTAGGGTCATGAAAACATTTGTTGAAAGCTATGGATTCTCTCTCCAGAGGGACACACGTTCACTCAAAATTTTGCAAGAAATTTTAAGGAACTTATGGAATCTCAGAGGTTTTTTCATGTTCTCCTAGTAAAAAACCACTGAATTAAGGATTCCTAAATGCTAAATGCCAAATATATTTCTCAGATATCAATAAGTATTAGTTTATTTTACAGATAGGCTAAGTAAAATCCTTAATTCAGATAGTGAGAAAAGGAACTTGGTGATCATGTAAATTTTTTGATACATTTGGCAATAGTAATAATAACTATAAATTATCAAGTGCTCACCTTGTTTTGAGCACTGTGGAAAGCATTTTGTATACATTACCTTGTTTTAAATTCTCATTCCAATTCTGTATTGTAGGTATTATAGATTCAGGAGGTTAAATGACCCACCAAATGTCTCAGAACGAATAAGTAGAGTCTGGACCGAGCAGGCAATACCTTCACTTTTAAGGTCTTTCAGAAGTTAGAGGAAAATATCTCACAGTCTGTTGCCTTTAAAAGAAAACACTGTGATCTTGCTTTTAACAGCCAGCTTTTGATGACAATCACTTCCAAAAATAAAAAATAGCTTCCAGGGACACATAAATCTTTTTCTTTGGCTCCATGCAATAAGGCTTTATATTACTTAGGGTGGTCTGAGGTTCCTAAGCTTGCCTTCATTCTGTACTTTTTGCCTTGGAGTCCAAACAACAGGATCAACATACCAGTTGGTGCCTGACTGAAATGGTCAGGAGGTTGGTAATGTTGTAAGGTCTGATGCAGGAGTGAACATGAGTATATGACACCTTTTTGCATCAGTTTTGCTAAACTGCCTCCAAACCATGATCTGAGCTATTGCCTTCCTGTAAAGGTAGCTGATAAATTTTTGACACCTGTCAGAGCTTCCTTTGAAATACAATAGCTCCCACAGCACGGAACCAAGGTTCTCCCTTTCCCCAAAAAAGATAAATACAAATTTCTTCCTCGTGAATTGTTTAGTTGGTTTACTCCTGCTTACATGCAGATCTGTTTGCCCCACCTACCCTCACACTCTGTTTTGGGCATAACAAAATTGAAACCATCTCCGTGAGTCCTAAACAAGGCTGGTCTTGATAGTAAGCAGAGTGGACAGTTGCTTCCATGGTGCAAGGAAGGGCTCTGTGTCCATAAATAACACACTGCCCCCAGCACCTGTCACATCAGTGTCATTCTATTGCATCAGCAAGAGACTCTGTCCTTTAGGGCATATTGTTCCATCTTCCAGTGTCCCTTTTAAAATTTATATAGCAACATACTGGCCCCTAGTTTAGAGCCAAGATGTCTTGGGATAGTTACTGGAGTACGTGAGGCTGGGAAGATGGCAGAAAGTTTAAGGTTAGGATCTAGTGGGAAGTGATATGAAGGGATAAGAAAAGGGCAATAGAGTACAACTTGGTTTTCTTTACAGTTTTATCCAAGGCCAGCCCAAATAGAAACCCTGAGGTTCTGAGGCAGATGCAGATTTCTGCTGTGTGGAATGGGGGACACTGATTCCCTGGGAATTTTTCTTTTACCTTGAAGCTGCTATGGTTCTTGAGTGTCGAGCTCATCTACTTGAGGTCCCTGAGAGAATCATCAGGATTTATCCTATTGGAGGAAGGGCAAGAGGTAAAAGACATTTTTTTTTTTTTTTTGGTACTGTCAAAAAAATACAGTTGTTTTATACAAAACAATACTAAGTCTCATTTTTATGCACTTTGATCGTTTGTATGCATACTTTTAAAGATGTGGAGAAATCAATAGAAATAAAATCCTTTGTCACTTTGCTTTTTATTTGGTGACTGAACACTTATTTTTTAAGAATTGCATAGCCTGAAGTGGCAAATCACATGAATGGGTTTGTTAGGATGATTTAAACAACAAAATCAACTAGTTCCCCAGAAATTTCAGATAGAAGTGTCACTCTGTCAGAATTGGGTTTTACCCCACAGTCACAGGTAACTTTTACTTACAAGCAATAACTTATGCAATTCCCTATTTGCCTTTTCTACTGAAGAGAAATCCTATCCATGAAGGGGAGAACTAGATCAGTTTAAATAGCATCTGTCTTAACAACAAAGTGTGCTCTTCTGATACATTGAAAACGTGCACTCACACAAACAATCTTCGTCTAAAAAACAAATGCTACTTTTATGTTCCTGCAAAGAAACACAACTCAATATTTTAGAAAAAGATATAAAAGGCAAAATTATCTGTAGAAACTAAACATGATATCTGGCACGTGATAAAGATTCAGTATTTACTAAATGAACGAATAATTGTATAATTAAATAAACACAACTCTTAAAATTAGCTTTGTGTTCCTCTGTAGGTCACAGATATATTTTTGCCAAATTATCTTCAAATTTTGGGGCGTCACTGATTGATGTGTAATTTCTATGTAACGATAGAACCTGTTTAGTAGTTTTGTTTATCTCTAGTTTCATAATACAAAAGTAAAAAATTTTAATGAAATTAGTATGAAGATTAGTTAAATAAAATAAAAACACCAAGAAAAAATAGAGAAAAAAGAAATTTTTACTCTTTACTATTGATTTCCAAGTCCAATTTAATTATAACAGAACTGTGGGAAGATGCATGTTAGCTTTTGAGGACTACACTCACAACAGTTTAGGAAGGAGCTTTAGACTCACAAACTCATGGGTTTCTAGGGGAATATAAACTTACAGAATAGCAAAGAGTAAAGTAAGATAGGTCCATGAAAAGACAACTTATTAGTAGACATGCCCTGATCACAAGCTAATATGATATAATGATTTTTAAAAGCCCTATCCTTTGTCTGTAATTCTACATCTAGGAATCTATCTTATAAAAATAATCAGAAGACCGTGCCTGGTGGCTCACGCCTGTAATCCTAGGACTTTGAGAGACTGAGATAGGTGGATTGCCTGAGTTCAGGAGTTTGAGACCAGTCTGGGCAACACGGTGAAACCTCATCTCTACAAAAAATACAAAAATTAATCGGATGCGGTGGTATGCACCTGTTGTATCAGTTACTTGGGGGGCTGAGGTGGGAGGATTGTTTCAGCCTAGAAGGTCAAGGCTGCAGTAAGCCATGTTCACACCACTGCACTCCAATTTGGGTGATAAAGCAAGATTCTGTCTCAAAAACTAAATAAGTAAATAAATAAAAGAAATAATCAAAGATGTAAAAAAAGATGTGTATGTGAGAATGTTTATCTCAGCTGTGTTTAAATTGCCAAAACATTAGAAACAACGTAAATGTCCCAAAATAGGAAATTTGTACAAGACATTATTGTACACGTAAAAAGTGGAATACTACACAGCTATTTAAATTCATATACTTGAAGAATATTTAACGTTATATGTCAGTTAACGTAAAGTGTCAGTTTAAGTATGATGTTTATTTAACCAGCTATGACTAACCACTTTTAAGGAACTATGATGGATTTTCCCCCAACTTTATTGAAGTATAGTTGACAATTTAAAATTATATGTATTTATTGTGTACAGCTTGATGATTGGACATATGTATACACTGTGAAATATTCACCACTGTCAAGCTAAGTAAAACTACCCATTCTGTCACATAATTGATCTTTTTTGGGGGGGGTATAGCCATTGTAATAAACAGTACAAAGGTTTCTCAAAATTTTAAAAATAGAACTATCTTATGATCCAGCAATCTCACTTCTGCGTGCATATCCAAAGGAAGTGAAATCACTATCTCAGAGAGATATCTGCACTTCCATGTTAGTTGCGGCATTATTTACAGCAGCCAAGATATGGAAACAACCTAAATGTCCATTGACAGACGAATAAATGAAGAAAATGTGCTGTGTATTTACAATGGACTATTAACCTTAAAAAAGAAGAGAATCTTGCCATTTGTGACAACATGGATCAACCTAGAGGACATTATGCTAAATGAAAAAAAGCCAGGTACAGAAAGACAAATGTTGTGATATTTATCTGTGGAATCTAAAACATTGAAGTCGTAGAAAAAAGAGTAGAATGTTGGTTGCCAGGGGCTAGGAGGTGCTGGCCAAGGGGTACAAATTTCAGTTAAATAGGATGAATAAATTCTGGAAATCTAATGTACAACAATGCAACTATAGTTAACAGTATTGTATCGTATACTTAAAATTTGCTAAGGGTACAGATTTTAAGAGTTTTCACCACTGATAGCAACAAGAAAAGGGAACTAAGATGGACTTTACAGAGGCAAAGCTTACAAAGTGCTCTCAGGAAAATTAGCTTGGCATCTACCTCTCAGGACTGAGCAGGCCAAGAACCTTGGTGACCTCGAGAAAAGAGTTTGCCCAAATGTACAGGAAAGCAGGTAGAACTTTGTGAAGAGAGGTTCTTGGCGTTGGAAGGAGCAGAAATTTGAAAGAGCAATTCATTTTTCTGAATCATCCAAGCACAGGCTGCATTACCTAAGTTATTGTGTCTGTCTGCATGAAATCAAAAGTTTATTTTCCATTAATGAGTGAGTGGTGGCTCCTGAGAAAGATGAGGCCAGTTACAGACAACAAAAAAGCTACTTCTGGTTTGTGCAATTGAGTTGTAGGGTGAGTAAAAAATATTTTGACTACATTGATTACCTATAGTAACAATAAACATAACATCTCTAGACTTTTAAAAAGTATCATTATTTCATTTTAAGTTTTACCTTAACATTTGTTATATAGGTAAATTGTATATTGCAAGGGTTTGGTGTACAGAGTATTTTGTCATCCGGGTAATAGGCATAGTACCTCATAGGCAGTTTTTCTATCCTTGCCCTTCTCCCACTCTCGACCCTCAAGTAGGTCTTGGTGTCTGTTGTTCCCTTCTTTGTGTGCATATGTACTCAAAGTTTAGTTCCTACTTGTAAGTGAGAACATGGGATATTTGGTTTTCTGTTCCTGTGTTAATTTGCTTAGGATAATGACCTACAGCTCCATCCATGTTGCTGCAAAGATCTCATTCTTTTTCACGGCTGACTAGTATTCTATGGTGTATATGTACAACATTATCTTTATCCAGTCCACTGTCATTGTGCATTTAGGTTGATTCCATGTTTTTGCTGTTGTGAACAATGCTGCAGTGAGTGTATGCATGCATGTATATTTATGGTACAATGGTTTATATTCTTTTGTGTATATATCCAAAAATGCAATTACTAGATCGAATGGTAATTCTACTTTAAGTTCTTTGAGAAATCACCAAACTGTTTTCCACAACGGCCGAACTAATTTACATTCCCACCAGCATTGTATTAGCATTTCCTTTTCTCTATTACCTCGCCAGCATCTGCTATTTTTTGATTTTTTATTAGTAGCCATTCTGACTGGTATGTGAGATGGTATCTCATTGTGGTTTTGATTTGCATTTCTCTAATGATTAGGGATGTTGAGCATTTTAAAAAGTATTATTTTTATGAATATACATCTAAATATTCATATACAAATATATATACATATATACTCTCCAAAAATATTCATTCCTGGCATAATGTGCTTTGTTCAACATGACGGTCAATCCTGTCTGGTGCTCAAGTCAAATTTTTTTCCCTTCAATATTGATTCAAATAATAATGAGGCACTGCATTTTTTCATATCTTGTTTCGAAATCATGTACAGGCCATGGATTTCTTTCTGTTGGAGGCAGTTGATTATAATGGTCAAACCTTTGTTCAAACCCTGATCTGCCTGCATTAGCTGCCTGGTGAACTGTGTCTGATGGGTCGCAAGTAGTCAGCAAACATTCCCTGTTATTATTCTGTGATTGAACTCCTGTGGAATGGGAACGTAGGATTCTAGTTCTTTTTGAAAGTTTTAGTTCTATTGCTTACCGTTCAATATTCACCCTGACACTCCCTTTTTATTTTCTTCTCCCTGTTTTTCCCTAGAATCACCAATTTTCAGAGTTAAAGACCGTCAGGTAGCCCCACCAGTAAATTTTGTTTACAACATGCCCAACAAGTCATTAATAGCCTCAGCTTGAACATCAAAGTATCAAGGAGCTTGCTATCTCCTCACAGAGCGCTTCTCCTTTAGCCAGCATTTTTTTGCTTTTTTTAGACAGAGTCTCCTTCTGTCAACCAGGCTAGAGTCCAATGGCACGATCTCAGCTCACTGCAACCTCCACCTCCCAGATTCAAGTGATTCTCCTGCCCCAGCCTCCCGAGTAACTGGGATTATAGGAGCCCACCACCATGCTGGGCTAATTTTTGTGTTTTAGTAGAGACGGGGTTTCACCATGTTGGTCAGCCGGTCTCGAACTCCTGACCTCAGGTGATCCACCCCCATCGGCCTCCCAAAATGCTGGGATTATAGGCATGAGCTACGGTGCCTGACCTAGCCAGCTTTAACAATTAAGAAAACCAGTGAACTTGAATCCATCTCTTCCAAACATTATCTGAAGATTATGTTTCTACTTCTCTTCTAACCTTTTTCTGGTTCTGTTTCTCAGAGTGACACTGAGAAAGTATTGTTCCTCTGCAACACAGGAGCCCTGTTAATATCCCCCAGGAAGGTTCTCAGGTCTCCACTGAGCCTTTTCTTTCAGAGGCTGGACAACTGCTCTTCCTATAAGATGGTCTCACC